GGCCTATTAAAATATTGGATTTTTCATCAATTTTGAAAAGTGGAGGGTGTGAATAGAGAGAAAAAATTTTGAAAGGTGTTAACTGTAGAAATAAAATAAATAGAAGGGGCAAATAAGGGCTTTGGCCCTTTTGCTTAATATTAAGAGCATCTTTTAATTTAATGGCTACTAATAGTATTGTGTAGGTTAGTGCCAATGCAAAGCCCTCTTTCTTTCTTTATAAAAAAAAAAAGGCCCTTTTTCTTTTATAAATTAGTGGAAAAAAGGGGCAAATTAAGTCCTTCAAAATAGTTTTTACATATAAATAATTATCTAACTTTCAACTTGTTTTTATTTAAAGATTAATTTGATGATAATATTAATGTGGCAAATGAATTTTTTAATTGAAATGTTGAAAGTTGATATATTTAAATAAAAAATAATTTAAAGTTGATATTCTTAAATATAAAAAATTAAAAGTTAGTATCTTTGTTTAGAATTAAGTAAAATTAACATTTTTAAATAAAAAATTATTGAAACAACATAATTATTTGGTGTTTTTTCATCTTAATTTTTTAAACACTTTTTTTTAATATTATTATTTTAAAAAAAGTAATGTTATAGTATTTTGGTTCACTCCCATATATGAAAAAGTAAATGGTGTTTTTCAATTCAAATAGCATAAAAAAGTACATTGTCGACTTTAAAAATATTAAAAACATAAAAATAATTTTTAATTACAAATATGATATCATATATTTAAGTACAACTATAATTATAATTACAATTATAGCATCTAATAACAACTTCAATCACATCCTTTGTTGTGTATCGTATCAATTTTATCACCACAATTATATTTCCATGCAAGCTTGTTCCGCCGTTGTCACTGTGCGCGAGTTTTCCCTCTTGCTTTGTGGGGGTTTCATCTAGTCATTTGTTCCTTGCTGACAGTCATCCAACGTAGGCTTCAAAGTTCGACTTGGCTGAGTTATGGATAGAAGCGAGACCGAGTGGAGAGGAGCACGGTTTGATTCTCCCCTTGAAGTGTAGGTGCTTATGTACTATATTTAATGATATCGATTTCATGAAGTTGAGATTGATATGTATTATTTATTAAAAAATATATATATATATATATAATAAGAGAT